CAATTGGCGCCGGACCGAGATTTCCATCGGCGTCTACTGCACGCAGGTTTTGAGTGGCATCTACCTTATCAACTATGGCACCTACTTCTTCCAGCAGGCAGGTCTCCCAACCGACCAGGCCTTCAACATGTCTGTTGGTTTCATGGGTAAGTGAAGACGTCATCTCATTGCCTCAAACGCAAGGTTCCGTGCTGATTGTTGGCAGCTCTGGGCCTCACTGGAACGATTGTCTCCTGGTTGCTCATGGTTAAACTCGGCAGACGAGTCTTGTACAACTACGGTCTCGCTGTGCTCGTCGTCCTCCAGTTCGTTATCGGTATCCTCGACTGCATTCCCGGCCGACCATCGGGTGCCATCTGGACTGAATCGGCTCTTATGCTGGCTTGGAACTTCTTCTACGACATTTCCATCGGACCCATCTGCTTTGTTCTCCTCGCCGAGTGCTCTGCCACTCGCGTTCGCTCCAAGACCATCGCCACCGCCACCGCTGCTCAGGGGCTTTTGGGTATCATCATGACCGTTGCAATTCCTTACATGATCAATCCCGACGAGGCCAACTTGCAGGGAAAACTGGGTTTCTTTTTTGGGGGTCTGGCCGGACTGTGTCTCGTATGGGCCTACTACCGTGTTCCAGAGACCATGGGTCGCAGCTACGAAGAGTTGGACATGCTCTTTGACAAAGGCGTTCCTGCGAGAAAGTTCAAAGCTTACCACTTGGAAGGCGCATTGTCCGCTGGTTTCAAGGCCTAATTTGCTACTCCGTAGATGTGTAGTTGCTACTCGTACTGCTCATGTAGACCGGAACTGTCAAACTTGCAAACTTCCTAATCATTACCTGTGGTTTATTCTTACGGCTCCAAGAAAGTATTGGCATTTAAAAGACCGCCTGCACTATTGTCCCCTACGCTGCAAGTATGCTTCTGGTGCAAATTAGGAGAGGCAGTCGTACAATACACATTTACGCAAGTCTCACTTTCTATGCTGGGATCAGAAAAAGTATAGTATTTCCCGAGTTGAATAAAGTAAAGGCCTTTAAATCTATTGATTGCTGCTGATCCTGGCATGATCGCAACCTTTGCACTATTGGCGCAAAATCTGGCAGCCTTGTTGGTCTCGAATAATAAATGTCCCCTATTACAGCACTTTTATAACGCGAGAGTTCTACTTTACATACTATTACATGATGAGTTCGTGTGCACAGCTGTGACTCGAGCCCAATTCCGCTTTACTGAATTTCTGTATGTACAGCGACCGCCAGATTCTCACGTCTGAGTCTTGCCAAATGTGGCCGTTCTCGCGTCTGTGAAGTGCATTCGTCTTTTTACTTATTGCCACCTCCTTGAGAAAGCATTATGTAGTAAACCCTCCGTTTCTCAATGTGTTGTATCCCATTGGTCACAGTGCCATACGCCGCCATTACGGCATTGATAGCTCCGGCCCTAAACGTATACAGGTTTTGAATCCTCGTTAGAGATAAGTAATTTGGCACCTGCTGCAGTGAAACTGCCCATGACACACTCAACACCATCGTATCCCTTGGACAGGATGGCACGCAAGTATTGAGCTGCTTTGTCCGACTCCATGTCCATACATAATCAACTATGTCAACGCATACAGTATCATAGCACTGAAACAGTACCGAACTGGACCAGACATCATGGATCCTGCTATACGGAGTACACATTTTAAAATAAAAAGAGAGGATCTATGCATCATGAATCGACATTGCTACAGTTTGCGGCTGTACTTCAACTACCCCGCTACCATTGAAGTAATTAAAGCAGCCGAATATTAATGTCTCTTCACTGTACACTTATGTGTGATTTGCCATGATTGTGATATATGTATTGATTCGCTACCTGCGCTCTGGCTAGTTTTCTTTTTCTCTAAAGCCTCCTAGCAGCTAGCAGCTTGGCTGCTTGTCCGCTGGTTGGCTCCAGACCAGGCACTAGAGTTACCACCTTACTTAGCAAAATGCAATAAGTTGTGTTTACCTAGAAGTGATAGTACTTACAGGCTTTAATAATAATATTAGTAAATTATCTAGCGTTATTGTCTCCTTGATAATAGAAATACTTACCGGCTAAATTACCATACGTTTAAGTATATTAATTAATTATTATACCTCTTAGAAGATACGAGCTTATACGTACTGTCTGTAGTGCTGTATTTCCGATATTCCGAACTTACCTACTGGAAATTGGTTCTTTTGTGCTTTGCCTAGAGTGGCAAGCGAAGTGAGCAAGTATCATGCGTTGATGAACTAGCTATTCGATCATCTACCTAATCGGGTTCTAGGCATGAATAAACTTTCTTAACTGGCTAATAATACCGCTGTAATTTATATACTTTTACGTAGTCTCACATTTAAGCTAGTATAATCTACGGGTTCCATTTCCTGAGCAATAAAATGAAAGGTGGTATATAAAGCAAGTCAATATATCAAGTCCATTGTGTATAGTTTTAATAGTATCTACGAACTATAGTGTGTTTAGGGCAATTTCTACCCGAAGCATATTTAGAGCTTGGTTTAATGAGTGCCGCATAAACTACTTATGCTTCGCCACAACTTTACTTGCGATTTGTGGGATCGCATTACCTTGATAGCTACTTCTGTACTTGTATCAATGAAAGCCAAGCTCGCTATCTCGTACGTTTTTGCACAGTGGGATGCTACCGATGGTTTAACAGCATAGCCTGAGGGCCACGTATGACCTTGACATCATAGGTCCTTGGATTTTCCGACTCATCCGTCAGCTCCTTCCATTTTGAATCAAAGGTGGCTAGGTTTATACTCTGGTCGTCGCGCTAAGGCCCTGCTGCATTATCCACGGCAGACCAAACAGACGGTGCAGTGGCTGTGTTGCATCCCAGGGCTGCACTATGTTTTCTGCTGATAAAGGCGGAGAATCGCCAAGTCGAACGAGTCCACGAAGTCGATGCTTGTTGCTTGCCTGACAATGTTCGACGCACTCGGCAAGTGTCGGGTCGTCGTTGGGTTTTGGCACCCTTCGGCAAATATCGCCAGATGTGTCATACCGCTCTCCCCTGCGCGTACCGGCACTGAGGAAGCATAGGCTATGTACAATCTGCATTCATCAGCCAATTGAAGAGAATCAGAGCGTCTGGTCCCTGTTCAAGATGGCCAATGGAGCGTCGCAGTGGCATCACATGTCTCGAATGCTTGCTTGTGAGGAAGTCATGCGAGGGAATCTGCCGCGTCACGATTCCTAGACATGATGATTTCGGAATACCGGAGTAGAGCCTCGACGACTGTTCCGAACCTTGAGGTCTTGTCGCACGGATTTCACACAGCATCACGGACTGACCTTTGAAGCTGACAGTAGTTACACAAGGGCTACGATCACGAGACATTGGGGCACGAGTCTCAGCGCTGCTATGTATAAGAGCCGTCTGCCCCAGGGAATTTGCAAAAAAAAAGACCATGGACCTTCGGTATCAAAGCTATTGCTTGCTGAATTGAGCTATTCCGCAAGCCCTCTACTGAGTCCTTGCCACAGGTCTGGGCTTGTTGCATTTTACCAAGCCAGAGTGTGTGGAAACGAATCCACATCACTCCTCGTCCATGTATCAAGTGCAAATCCGTCATCCCTTTTCAAAGAAAAATAGTGTCAAGCTCTCCATTATGGAAAGGACCCTTTTGGTAACATCCTAATAGATAAACCACCGGCAGAACCTAATTATAATGAACCTGTGTCAAGGGGTTAATGAGGGATTGGAGTAATGGCTCAGTTCAGTCCGAGTAATAGTCTTTGGTACAAAAGATTCTTGGTTTTCTCAAAGACTGGATGGACATAAGAGCTCTATTTATGCAAGAAGTCGATGAGAGCCTCGTGCCCTAGGTCTCGTGGTCGTAGCCCTCGTGTGACAGCGACCCAAATATATAAAGGAAATTACATAACCATAGATAAGAAAAGATGTAGGAACTATTGGCGTGCAATGGATAGCTATTCAGTATGTAGGTAATCTCCGCTTGTTTTCAGCTCGCATCATAAATCCAAGTTTGGACATTTCCCAACCCTACCAGGGTCTCAGCTCGGAGTTGTAACCCGAGCTGAAATAAAGAAGCGGGCCGACGACGCCACCCGGCGTAAGTTGATATAGTTTGTCCATAAATTCTCCGTAAATTTGGAGAGGCAACGAATCCGAAGCTTCTCGGAACCCCCGCATTGCTGATACAAGCGAGGAATACGCACTCACCATAACATGCTGACTGGACAGATCGACACACAGCCACCCTTCTCACTCCAAGGTCATTTGGCAGCAGTTGGTGGCAAAGTGGCAGCACTGATTACTGCCTTCGCTTGGATCGGATTGTTCTGATTGTGCCTAGTCTCAGTGACGTACGTGCGCCTCGTTCCTGAATGTCCGCGCCGCGACGTGACGCACGATAGGTGTAACAATGTAAGCACACTAGGCTTACATGATTGAGGTGCGCTCCGGCCATATATATGTGTGCTCTAGGAGGCACTTTGTAGCTGCGGTAGTCAGGCATCAACAAGACCCTACCACCCGATTGATCACCATGCACGTTCCGGGCCAACTTCTCCTATCGTTTCCCGGCCTACTTGGCCTAACATCGGCAACAGGCCCAGAATCCAACAAATGTAAAGCATATCCAAGCACTCCAAACTGGCCGTCTGCCCAAGCGTGGGCGAGCTTGAACAAAACCCTGGGCGGGCGGCTTATAAGCCCAACTCCGCCCGGGGCATCTTGCCATCCGGGACAGGCGACGTACAACGAGACGCAATGCGCCCAAGTGGTCAAAGAATGGAGTGCATACGATTGGCACACCAAGAGCCCCGTCTCCGTCATGTGGGATCAATATGCCAATGATACATGTCTTCCGGATCCAAGGGCTCCTTGCAGTCCGCAAGGCTACCCGTCGTATGTAGTGAACGCGAGCACGCCCGAGCATGTCAAGGTTGGCATAGACTTTGGTATTTGCATATTCCGAGTCCCATTTTCCTTCAGATACAATGCCTGCCAAGGAAGCTGACAGTACCGTAGCGCGCAGGCATAACGTCAGACTCGTCGTCAAGAGCACCGGGCACGACTATTTAGGACGATCAATTGCTTCTGGAGCCTTGTCCATCTGGACCCATTACTTGAATCGCATTGCGTATCACACGGGACAATTCAAGCTCAATGGTTCGGGAAAGGCGATTCCTGGCGACGCCGTCACAGTTGGGGGCGGCACCGAAATGTACGACATTTACTCGGCAACCGACAAACATAACCACACCATCGTTGGAGGCGGCGGCAAAAGCGTCGGCATCAGTGGCTACGTCTCGGGCGGCGGTCATTCCATCCTCGCTCCTCGATTTGGACTTGCCGCAGACCAAGTCCTCGAAATGCAGGTTGTGACACCAGGAGGAGAAATCTTGACTGTAAATGAAGATCGAAACGCTGATCTCTTCTGGGCTTTGCGCGGCGTAAGTACTGCATATGCTGCCATTGCTTCCTTGATGCTAATGACGGAACGCAGGGCGGAGGTTCAACATTTGGTGTCATTACCTCTATTACGCTCAAGGCACATCCTAGCCCAAGGATGTTTGCGATTAGTTTCATGGCGCTCATACAGCCCAATTCGACCAACTACAGCGACATCGTCACTTATTTGGTATCTCAAGTCCCCAGCTTGATGGACGCCGGCCTATCAGGGTACAGCTTTGTGGGATACCAACTGCCAAAGCCTGTGCCGATTCCCGGCTTACCAGATACGATCAACGGCATGTTTAGCGATGTAATTCTGCAAGATGCCGACAGCGAGGACGACGTCGACAAGATACTTAAGCCACTGAATGAGACGTTGAAAAGGAGGTGGCCCGGCGAAGTTGGGCTTTACAACTCCGTAGTCCCGTACAAGTCGTTTTTGGCCTGGTTTGACGACCACTATGATAGGCAAACCGCCGGAAATAGCACCTATATTGTTTCGCGGCTCTTGGACAAAAAGACACTAACCACCACTTCTCCCAAGCTTACCAAGGCGCTCATGGCACCGATTCCGTACACAAATTCATATGCGGTATTCATGGTAGGAGGGAAGGGTGTTATTGATGCCAGGCCAAGAGGAGGAGGCAATGCCGTGAATCCCGCCTGGCGAAACGCCTATGTTCATGGAAGCAAGTTGCGATGATGTAGTCATGGGAAGAATTCGCCCACTAACACACATTGTAGTAACCGCCGCCGGATTCCCCCATTTCAACACCACCGCACGTCTTGACGCAATAGATGCTTTGCAAAAGGCATTCCAACCACTCCGAGACCTGACGCCCGAGTCCGGCTCCTACATCAACGAGGTACAGTCGTCATGGCTCTCTTGCGGGCTTTTCCCCTTCCGTGCTAACTGCGTGTTTTAGGCGCTTCCATTCGAGGAGAACTTCCAGAACGCGTTCTGGGGAAGTAATTATGAGCGCTTGCTTAAGCTCAAGCGCAAAATTGATCCGACTGATGTGTTTTGGTGTCTGCCGTGTGTTGGTAATGAGCGGTGGCGGGAGGGTGATGATGGCAAGCTGTGCAAGATGAAGTAGGGTCCGCAGGAGAAATTCGTGCGTAGTGTAGGCAGGCAAGGGATCTGTAATCGAGGGTAAATCACTGTCTTGTAGCCTTCTTGGTCTGCTCATTAGCTAAATGTAATGTGACAGTGGGATGTCATTTGAAGCAGAGGGAGTATTCTCTGGCCTTGCCTTTTAAATTAGTCTGTTTCTTCTCTATTGCAAAGGAAAAAAGCTGAATAATCACGGTGTTTCATTTGAAAGAACCCCCGAGGTCAAAAACTTTGATGGCGGTGTCAAGTGCGTGGATGTCAAGTTACGTAGTGTGCCTACATACTACGCATGTAGCTGGCTTGGGCTAGGATTCACCGAGTCGCGTCCTAAGTCTGATTCACCTTGGAAACGCGGCACAGAGGTCGAACATGCTAGATGTCTTTGCGAGTAATAGCCAGAATGTCGCGGCCCAATATCAGGGCAGCATGAGCTTGGATGCGTAACTGGTGGAATAGTTCGAATCATTCTGTAAAGACCTTGCTTTCAAAAAGCCTAGTCATACGTTTAGAATTGAGTAAAATATGATAATACTAGGTATTGCTACCGTGACTTGGTAATTGCGTGAATTATAAGTAGACTTGGGGCATAGATTCACAACTTGTGTATGTTGATCAGCGTACCAAACTGCTTCATTAACACATTCCAACATAGCTAGAGAGACTCATGAGTTTTTTCATTTGTTCTTGTCGGGATAGGTGCAGCAGCTGTTTGAATAAATCGGGCGCTCTAGTGAGGGTGTCTGGTCAGCCCCTCGAGAGTCTTAATTCTAGCATTACAGCAGGGTCGAAATAGATTAACTAAACGATTTCATCGCTTCGACTAATCTCCATGATAAAAAATTTCCCCTTCATGGTGCTATTGCTGTTAGCCGTCGGTTACACGCCTCTACACTTCAAATACTCACATAGCATAGAGGACCTTTCCATAGTCTATGTCATATGATAAATCGAATAAATATTCATGATATCTTCTCGGAATCTGCAGAGAAATAGCACGGCGATCTTTAGGTATTCAGAGTAAAGCATTCTTTATATTGCGATTAGTACTATTAAATCATATACTAATGTACTAGATATTGGTCATCTAAACCTGATAGTCCTGTTATTGCACCCACACGATACTTCCTGCTAGAGTGCCTAGAGCCATAATTTTTGCTTTGACACATAATCTCTATGTGAGCAAGACACTGCTCAGTTCGAGTCGCAATAGGCAATAAGCTCAAGTCTGTGTCTTGCATTCCCGACTATACGACTAACAATAGGAGCTGTGCCTCGCAGTCAATTTCATGTTTCCGAGGTGCAAGGCACATTTTTACGTCTGTCAAAGGGCTTTACATCAAACCATGGGCCCAACGGCACTCCTCTTCGCTGCCATATTCATCCGTCGGCTGCGCGGACCTAAATCTGAGGCTGCACCAAATGTAAGTGCCACAAATATTTTCGTCCTGGGTCGTACCGCAGTCTTGTATCCTCGAATCGTCCACATCTTTGGCCGGAAGCGTCTTGTGGCTCCTGACACAGCTCCAATGAGACCTGAATGGGGACTTGATGCCAGGCAAGAGGTTGGCGTCTTTGTGCCTCAAGCAGTACTCATATGTGCCACAAAACTTCTCCGTGAGCTCGCAATTGGTGCACCTGTCTCTCAAGGCCTTTTCTTGCGGTGCAGGAATCCAAAAGAGCGTCTATCATAGCGTCGACGTGAATCTGGAGGCATTCCTCGAGACTGCCAAACAAGGCATCTTCGGGAGTAGCGGCCTTGCCGGACTCATATCTTTCGCAGGCTTTCCTGCCGGCGGCCTTGTTGACTTGAAAATTAACAGTTTCTGAAAGGTCCCGATCGGATTGCACCTCGGGACCTCCAAAGAGTCTGACGGCGCGTACAGCGAGCTTGTATTCGCCCACGGGGGTATAATCGCCCGACCCTAGCCGCCCACTCCACGTCCTGCGTGTTGGTTGGGAGTGAGGGAGAGCATCGAGAGAAAAGACGTCGAGTGTAAGGTTCTTGTCCGCCAGACGATCGGCCAACCACTTGCGTGGTGACACTGGCACGACCTCGGCGCGCACAAGACGAGTTCCGAGGCCTGGCGTAACGCGTACGGGCAAGTTAATGCTCACGGAACTGTCGTTTTTGATTCCATAGTCGAACCAATGCCCATACCCGTGCATCTGGTCCAACCCACTGTCTGACAGAGTTGAAAGCACGGCTCCGTCTGATGGGAGGACCTGGTGCTCCTTCAAGGAGCCGGAGACACCCAGATACGGTACGGAACCGTCAACACACTGCTGCTATTAGAGCTATCAAATGAACCACTGTTGGAGCTTTTGATGGAGATCCAACCAGACCACACCGGCAGGCGGTTGGGGTCAAGGCCCTTGTGATCTGTGGCCGAGATGTTGACCGAGGCCGATTTGCCGGGACCGAGGACGAGAAAGCGCCTGCTTAGCTTGACATTGTCGGATTCGTCAACAGGAAGAAGTGTCCCACCCAGTTGCTGCCAGTTCCGAGTGTGTAAATAGTTTTGGCCGCGAGAGTATCAAGACGGTATGTAACGTTGACTTTGGCAGTGTTGGTAATCCGTAGGCTCAGAGAATGTGCGCGATGTTGGGTGTCGTTAAAGGAGAGACTGGCGGGTTCAACGAGTGTGGTCGCGTGAGCGGCATCCCATGCTCTGGCCAGGCCGCCACCTTGCTGTGCAACCGAGTCGTAGTTCCCTTGAGGCACAGCAGTGGTCATGAGAAGACTGTTGAGCAAGACGGGGTCAAAGGGGCCTCGAACCTCGGCGGCGAGAGCCAGGATGCCGGCGACAAGAGGGCCGGCAAATGACGTTCCCGAGATATCCTCATACCCGCCATCCTTCTTAATTCCCGGTACATTGTCACCCGGTGCTCCCACAGTAGGCTTAATTTCAAGGTCCCAGTTCGGGACGAATGTTGAGAATCGGGCCATGGGAGCGTCTGTGGCGTGGCCATCTATGGCTCCCGGGGCGCGGGCAAACGCATTGACAGACGTCACTCCGCGGCCGCTGGAAGGATTCAAAGTAGAGAAGAGGCCAGAACCATTGTCGTTGCCGAGGCCTACTATACACGGGACGCCGCTATCAACAATGCGCGAGACGACGGCCGCCGCAGGACGCGTAGCCCAGGACGCGCCCTCCCAGCCAGCAGACGACACAATAATCTGCGCGCCGTCCTCATATGCCTTGACCCAGCCGGCTATGAGATCGTCCTCTTCCATCAGGGCTGAGCAGTTGAGCACCCGATAGCCTGCCAGAGTTGCATTGGGGGCCACGCCGACGTAATTCGAATCGCCGCCGGCAACTATGCCCGCTACTGCAGTACCGTGGCCATGGCAGTCCATAGGGTCGTCATCCTTGCCATCTTTAGAGAAGTTGTCACCGAAAGCAACTCGGCAGCCTTTGCCGAAGCAGCCTCCGAGAGCCGGGTTGGTATAATCAATCTGATGACCATGTTAGCGGAACTGCTCTTTTGTCTCATACACGTAAACAAATACTTACACCAGTGTCAACAACGGCAGCAACCAACCGTAAAGTAACAGAATAATAGGTCCCCGTGGTATGTACGAAAATCGAACCAAGATGACTTAATATGAGTTTATAATTTAACTCTATGGGGCCACGACGCCTCCACCTGTCACTCCACAGCTCAAGGGATGGCAAAGTAGCTTCATCTGATAGCTCACATGGTTGACTGTCGCTTATTCAAATCCCTACTGATGATTCCTGCCTTGGAATCTGTTGGCTCATGGTTCTGGGTTTTGTTTCTTGGTGCCGAATGTGGGCTGCGAACTGCTGGTTGCCATTACCATCCACTCTTGACAGCCACAAGTCCCTGTAAGAGTGTGCTATGATTGTGATGAGACGGGCTTCCATAGGAAGCTGTCCACATTTGGGATGCTCAGTGCTGTATGCCTTGATTCCATATTCCATATTCCAACCATGTTCAAAAATGGAAGCATGACGCCTACGGGGTAGCTCGTGACGATATGTTACGATTGACAGCCATGGACACTATTTCGTCTGGTTGAAAATTGCTGAAAAAGGACTAATTTGTTGTCAGCTAGCTTCTGGCTACTCGATGACTCGATGACTCAGTCTGACATGGTACGAAAACACTCACTCGACTTCTCTGTTTCAATATATCCAACAGCCTGCTGCCAGCGCCTGACAGGCGTCCATGACCTAGGCTCAATCTGTGCCGGGATCGACTCAGTCCCCCCCGAGACGTATGTGAGCCCCCTTCGGTTGTTCGCGGTGCGACATTCCGACTTATGCGGTGCTACGGAGCGGACAAGGATGGATGGCGACTGACTCCCTTGTCCAAAGCAGCTCAACCAGTCATGGAACAGTGACCAATTTTATTCAAATGGCGTGTCTCTCTCCACTGCGCCCCAATGGCCTTATAATTGGGATGCCCTAATTGCCTCGAAGAGATGCAATTGCTAAGGCTTGTGGCCCTTTAGTAGACAGTCACAATACCACATCATGTCCGCGAAGCTTGCATACAAACCTACATGATGTCAATAGCTGTAACATGAGCGCGTGAGCTCAAATAATTTGATGGTGACCAGAACATTACTGCTATTGCAGGGAATGGTCTGGCTAGAAGTTTCTGGTTCATCCGCCTGACTCGGACTAACAATTAGCATGAAGATGCCGATAGCGAAGTTCTAGAGAGTTCTACTTGAATATAGTTTCAAGGCGTAGAGGAATAGATAGCGTGGTGGTATGTTCATTGAAGTTTGAAACGAATACGCCCTTGGCAACGCGCAAAGCAGGCTTGATCAGCCAGAACTGCAAAATTACGCAAAGCCTTTAAGCTCCATTAACTAGATTCCTACTAAAAGGGGCAGGCTTTAAGAGGCTGCGTGATGCATATGGTTTATCCTAGCTATTATAGCCAGCAAGTTCTATGTCAGGAGGCTAAATCCGTCCTCTTAGCTAACTCCGGGCAGCTTCTACGGATGGCCCAGATGGTTAACTGCGGCATGTCAACACTAAATGCAACCCTTGGTGTGATAGGAAAGGTTACTATAGATTTTGTGTTTCCATGTATGTCAAGAATTACCAGTCTGATAGGGAGTACATAAAGAGACATAAGGGCCTGCACTACTACAGGTTCCTCCACTTCTAGTAGTGCAGCTGGCAGATGCCATGATAACTAGCAAGCACGAATCTATAGAACAAGTGCAAATAATAGTTTCTAGTATAGCGGAATAGCAGCAGCACTAGACATAATTTACAGAAGGATACCTTAGATAAGTAATGAGTTTAAGCTTCAATAAGATTGAATATAGTAACGCTAACAAAAGACAGGAGTGGGACAGGATTGTATCACATACGATAGTAAAACTCTATACATGAGGCATTTTGCATTGTAGTAAGATACGTTAGGGCATAATAAAATTATGCCCCGGCATCCAGTATAAAGCTCACAAATAGGAATGGGGCTTTATTCAAGCGAGTATTTGCTTAGTAGACATGAACAATTCACCTATCTCATGAAGGGGAAAACTCCCCAACACCCACAAGTGAATAAAGTCATATCATCGTGATAACATTTATCTCACTGCAAAGCCACCATCAGAAACATATGTTTTATACGATACTTCTATCGTGTGGGCCATTTCTCAACCTCTGCAAAGTCCTGGCCGCCCTGGCCGACTTCGTCTCAGCGCGCTACCGAGCTCATGAGCCTAAGCAAGACCAAGCCAGTCAAAGCGACGAGGCAAAGGAGGTCTAATTGTAGCGATCTATAAACTTGATGACTTTTCTCCCAGTAGAACTTCTCTCGAAACCATCCAGATCGGCGACAAAAACAAGCCGAAAACGGTGTTCGTTGGCGGAATACGCATGAACAAACGTCCTAATTCGCTCACCAAGGTCTTGCTCCGACAGGAGTTTGAGGTTTGGCGGTGAGCGTAGCAGCCGAATCTCGAGAGAGGACTCCAAAGATGGCTCCAGCTTGTCCAGGATGACCTGCCACTGCAGGACGCCGCACTCCTCGTCATTTAATAAAGCTGTCAAGTCTACAAAGTCGAGGTACTCTCCGTCCCAGTCAAAGCTGAAGCGGCGGTCGCGTCCTTGAAAGCGAAGGACGCGCAAGAATGGCCAATACTCTTCGGGAACCAATCCTTGTGCCTCGGCAGGAAGAGGGTGGAGAGATCCAATATCACCCGTATCGTAGCGCACGAGAGGATTGCGAAGACGCGACAGGGATGTTTGGACGACAATGCCCTGTTGACCCTCTGGCACGGGCTCAGGATCAGAGTCACCATCCTGAGATGAAGGCGAAAGAACCTCGAGTAGCATGGCACGGGTGTCGAAAATGAAGTCTGCTTCACTCGTGTGCGCCTCTTGTCCCGTAAGGTCCGGATTGCTGAGCGCCCAGGGCCCTGCTTCCGCGCTGCCCATTATCGAGCAGATCTTGACATTGTCGCCAAGAACAGTTTTGATGTGTGCCCTCTGAGCGGCAGTAAGCACTTCCGAGGTGTAGATTATCTTGTCTAGCCTCAACAGGGCCCGTGATTCTTGTGGAAGTGCTGATATCCTGTGGATGATCTGGGCTACCTGGCTGCTGTCGCCCGTCAGGACATTGATGTGATACTTGATCAGGAGACGAATGACTTCTTCTGGAGGCATGTGGTTTCCGGCGCTGAGAACAGATGCTCCGGCGTTTTCCAGAATCTCCAACATGAGGTCTAGGGATCTAGTCTGATGGTCAGCAAATCGCACGCTCGGTTCGAGCAGTCGACACGAGTACCTGTAAAGCTCACCAGCACAGTGAGTCGTGAGGATCCAGTCTCCATGCTTGACCACTCCGGTAGCTCGAAGAAGCTCACCAAACTGGGCCCTATGCCTACGGTTCTCATAAACGTCTGTCGCAAAGAACAAGGGTTTGGATCCAAACCCGCCTCCCGTGATGCTCGCGTATACGCTGTGACGGTACGTGTTTTGGGGACTCGGGTCATTCACGAGACGCTCAATTGTTGTGTAGCTACCAAGTTAGCTCCGGAACACTCCCGTCTGCCAGACTTCTTACAGGTCTTTTTTCCGGAGCAAAGGCTGCAATTTTAGGCTAGCCCTCGTTAGCTGCTCCCTCGAATCCTCCCGAAGTTTCTGGATCGTCTCAGAGTCGGCGGGATACTGAACATCTCGGTCATAAAAAGGATGAGACTTGGCAACAGCCAGCACGTCGCTCAGTGTATAGTTTTCGAGTGCCATGACGCAATAATTAAACTCGCAACAGACAATGTGATGGGCAGGTGCTGCTGGACGTCATAGCCAAAGGTAAGTCAAACACGGCGGGCAGAGGAGGTTTGTTATGTGAACCCATTGCCGCTACACTGGTTTCTTGTTTTCCTTTTTCCAAGGATCTTTTGCCGAACACTTGGCCGACCAACCAGAAGCAGCATAACATGCATGTCTAGACAACAGAGGTTGTTGAACAGAAGTATGCATGCACCACCGAATATTCTGCAGCCACATAGGACCCATGTCCAGCAAGCGTCCGACGTGTCTTGCTTTTTGAAGCTTTCCACCGCCATTTACTCCTCAGGATGCTTAAGCTTCTCCCGCATGACTCAACTGCCGAAAATGACGTTCCCCAAAAAAGAGACAATACGCAATCGGATGGAGACCTGAAGGAAAACAAAGCTATAAACAGGCGTAAGATGGCCTTGAAGAAGCAAAGAAGGTCGGGAACTTTTGGAGGCACAGAATCATGGCGGAAAAGGAGACGAGCTGAGTATACATCTAACCTTGATGTCTTTCAACCAGACACCAGGTCTAAATTACAACTTTTGGGGTATAACACCGACGTACTGTGACCCATTCTGTCACCAGGAGATGATGGCAGTGCTAGACGAAGACGGCTCGATTAGATGACAGAATCCATCAGTCTGCGCGTAGAACAGAACAGAGCCAAGAGCCGCCAGTGCTAATGGCACAGATCCGATCACCGCTAGTTCGCCATATCCCCAACCCAACAAGCTTTCCGTGTACGGCATGATATGTCCCAACAAGGGGGTACTGTACTCTATCGCCAGAGCTATCCAATACCATTTCGTATAGCCGGGGCGTAATGCGTCGCTGTACAACGTAGGACGCCTCGGAACCCAGGCCAGCAGTCCGCATGCGCTCCAACGTATCAATCCACGTGTCTATGGAAATACTATCCCCAAATAGAATCCCGGCTCCCTTACCACCGCGGATAGGCTTGAGTATGTACTGATGTCTCAGCTTGGGAAAGCTTCGTGACTTGACAAGGAGCTGTCGAAGCTCTGCCGAGCCAGCAAGGATTGTTTTCGCAATCCCCTTGTCAAGGACCTCTGCTTGTGCCTGGGTGAGCACCTTTTTCGCGACCAACGGCCCAAGCTCCTGTCGAACAATACCAAGCATGCGCTTATCATGGACTAACAAGAGCGTCCTCATGTCATTGAAACCAAGCAGACAGACTTGGCGGAGCATCTCGGGCTCTAGTGCCAGCAGCTCACGCTGGTGCAGCTCCAAGCCTAGCTGGAAGATCTCTTCCACCACTTCTCCGTGATGGGTTTTGAGAGCGCAAGATCCATCGTGACCGTTGGTCCTCACCACGCAGTAGAGCTTCCGCCGACTACTGTTTTCTGGATCGGGAAGCAGTCTGAGATCGGCCGGAGTTATCAACCGCGGTCTAAAGCCAAATCGTCGCTGCAAATCGTGCATCATCATGTGAATGTCCATTCCCTTCTCTTCACCCTTCAAAAGATGTAGGGGAACGTCGACGCGGAAGAGGTCAAATAAGCCGTCCAGCGCCTGGGACACGTCAGAGGCTTGAACAAGGCCAAACGCACACAGCAATGAGAACTTGCGACGGCGAGGGACTTACTCTGGCGGCGCTGGTCGCAGCGACAAGTCCGTGGGACTTGACGCCCATGTCGTCGAGGGCTAGCTGCCCGTACGCCTGATGCATAAAACCATTGAAGCTGAACCGGGCGTTAATCTCAGTAATTCGGAAATTCTCAATCTCAGTGCCTTGTTCGCAAGGATCTTCGATCATATAGTCCGGTCTCCATCCTCCTCGACATTTGGAGTACCTTGGCAGGGTTCCGCGCGATACTTGATCGTCAAGCCACTACTCGACAGAGGCATCAAGATGTTTTAGCCTCTTGCACCGACTTTTCTCCGTCAGAGGCGTGCTCACCTGTAAAAGGCCTTCTTCCTTGCTAGTCAAAGGCATTCGCTCAGGAAACCGACTCTCCTTGTCAGTCCACCACCGCTCGACAATGTCGGTGATGGCGGCAGTTAGTGCCTCATGCAGTTCGGCTAGTTGTGTCTGATGTTGCTTGGTCATAAGGATCGGGCGAGGACAGGCAGCCTTGTGAGAGTTTTTTGGCCACAAGTGAGCTGGACAACTATTGACAAGACTGGCCTGCAGTGCTTCATGCTCCTGCGTGTAGGTGGCCTTGTCGGCCTGGTGGCGGGAGACTGGCACGTAGCCTTCACGGCCAAGCCCAATATGGATTTGTTGCATTGGAGTGACCATTGGTTCTTTGCTGTACATGGTCCTTTTTTTGAGAATAGAGAAGTCGCAGATAGTGGTCGTCTAAATGCGCATTCATGTGAGCGACATGTGAGATACTCAGCGAGGCGAAACGCTCGCGTTTTCGTCTTCAGTCGCACAGAATATCGAGCATTCTGTACATAAATTCGTAGTTTCAGGCCAAGGATAGTGCTTTCACCGCCAGTCCTATTGCCTGACAACTGTGAGACATGCTAGGTGGCAGTTTAGCCTCTCATATGAACAGTGACTGGCATGTCCAAACTAGCCATTTCTTTACGGAGTACGGAGTACTCCGCGCTTCGTATGCACCTGGAGTTTCGTAGTGAAAAAGAAAAAACCCTTTTAGTCCTTGTGCATTGCTAGTCCTGGTTCGTCATGAGTTATCGCCAATCAAATGTATTCGCAAGGCCCAGAATCACTCCCTACTAATGCCTGCCGGACAGGGGTGGTAAGGTTGAACATTGCTTTTCCTGGAATTGGCGTCTAGGAGATGCCACTAGTAATATCAGAACTCGATATAACGGGCAGAAAATGCTTAGCTGCTGATGATTATGCGCCACCACGGAAGGACTGACAAATCGGCCGTTGAAGCTATGGGGAGGCAAAGCCAAGATGAGAAGATGTGATGCACTACAGAGCAAATAGCCTTGTTGTTATATTTTTGTCAGACACATGTCCCTGCCTTGTGGCACGCGAGGAAAACAGGACACCGCCCCGTGGCACCCAATCTCTCGGATACAACATCCGGTGTTTCCTCCACCGCGTGGGTGGTAGTGTCAGTTGCGATCATGCAGGTAGCCCTCCTTGCCCACCTATCGGAAATCCCTCGTCCCTGGCCCGACAGGGCATGCCCCCAAAACAGATTTGTCCAAGAACATACTTGTGGCGTCGAGTGAGGGAGCTGTGTTTGGACAGAGGAAGGTGCACAAGGCAGACAAGTTACACCACAAATTCGTGGAGAGCTGAGGTCCACAACATGCGGTGTAAGTGTAGATGTTCGGGGTTCGGTCCGTGATTTTTATTGTGTATGTCCTGATGCCATGCCGGTTGACTCCCTGGGAATATCAGCCCCCTGCACCGGCAGCCACAACAATAACTATCATATCTTGGTACCTGTTGAGAGCAGTAAAAGCTTCCTATTTGGAAAAGCATTCGTCATGCTGGCTGTGATTCGCGTGACTCAGGGACAGCCTATTCGAATCAAAACATGGATCAACGTTGCAAACATCGCCTGACGAATCCAAGCTGCTCCGTAGGAGTACTACTACAAGGTCCATTTTGCAAAGCGATATATAGAGGTGATTTTGTACTTTCATAAACTACCAATTACACTAACCTCTCCTTTTAATTTGAATCGGATAATATATGGGAAATGATATCGTAAATGGTTTAATAGTATTAGTCAGTTATTGCCTATACCCACTGCAACTATAAAGCTTGCTTTACTTGAAACCAATTTTGTACATCTCCCTTCGTATAAGCCAAGTACTCTCTTGGAATAGACAGCAACATTGCTAATGCCTGATCTATGCAGTGAAACGACATGCGGATATAGTAAACAGGTATCAAAATTTACATCGGTCTACAGCCATACATATAGTAATGCCTAGTTCGTCAAGTGGCCTTCGTAATTTGAGTGAATTGTGTCACACTGCAGTTTACTAAATGCCCCATGTTTTGGGACTTCTGTTTGGAAATTGAACATGCTGTCTCGGTTGTCCTTCCTTTGCCCTTTGCCGACGTTGTACCACATGAATGCGACACGACGGAACAAGCCAGTAAAGAGCACTCAAGTTCCCGCATGCTGGGCCTATTGAGATGTGAGTATGCAGGTCTCAAACCGTGGCTGGCTGAACTAGTGAGTCCCAAAATTGTCATGTACTCCGTACCCGCGCTTAGATGTTGATTTATATATTCACCCCCCTCCATCCCTTTCTGCGGCAATTCAGCCTACCTACGGAGTACATCAGGTTCAGTCCCGCATTAGACAAGCCAACAGAGATCCGCAAGGCCGAGATATCGCATGGTTGGACTCAAGCGGGTCGTAGTTGAAGTCCAAGCACCGAAATGGCTTCAGACATGTTCAAACTAGTTTTGCCGAGTAGTAGTACATCTTTTGTACTCCGTGTAATTGCCAGGGTCAAGAGGCCAAATGCGCGGTGAAGCATTGGGCCAGTGGCCCAGTAGAAGCAGTAGCAACATAACCAGCCAGGCACATCTAGCATCCCCCGTGGACTGGCGGAATGTATTCTACCAGACTGTTTCTGTGGCCTCATGAGACGAGACGACTGTTGGCGCTTGGCAAAAGAGTGACTAGCCGCTGTACTCCGGACGCAGTTTGATCTCTATTCATAAACGCCTACGAAATCTGTTCTTAATCCCTCTACGGAGCCCAATGTGAAGCAGATGCCGCGGCGCCTGTGTTCTCCGTTACAGGCACTTTTGTAAAGAAGTCATACCGATCCGGAATCCCCTCTCTAGGTTTTTGTACTGTCCCATATCCGTATTTCGCAGCTCCTGCGCACAGTCCTCTAGACTGGTCTTTTCTCTTGCCACAATAGCCTCCAACGCGAGACGAGTTTCCCGGCCCAGCAGCTCGGGCGCTCTCGCAATGGCCTTCTTGAACTCCAGAAAGGCCAGGGCTAGACCCAACAGCAGGCCGAGATTCGCAACGGGCCGCACACTCCACCGCAGCAGGTCGTTTGCCAATCTGGCACTTTCGTCACCCTGGCCTTGGCTAGCCGCCAGGGAAAAGACGTCTTGTAAAGACGCAGGTGTGGCATTGGCGGATTGGTCGACCTGGTGGACCAACTCTAGACCGACATCTATCAGGCTGGTGTGCGAGTGCCGTCTCAGTTCGTCCATACCGGCGACGACAGCGGTTTCCGCCTCAAAGCCAGCTTGGGCTCGGAGGAGGCGCAGTATACTGGCATGGAGCGGGCAGGCGGTCCGGGAGGGTACATTGATGGTGTTTTCTAAAAGGCTGATGTGCGCGAACCAAAGGGCGATTATGTCTGGCAGTCGGTCGACCGAAGGTGAGTTCAAAGGCTGCTGGGTTTTCCAGGGCTCAATGTGGAAGTCAACCTCCTGAGATGCCATCTCTGCTGTAGCCACCGCGTGGCTGCCGGCGGGAAACACAAACGGATGATGGCAAACCGGGTCTCGAAGCTCTGCCACGGCGTTCCTTGTGGCCAGTGGCTTTCTACGGGTGAATCTCCAATATACCGAAGCTCTGTTTTCCGGGCCCAAGGCGTCGATCCAGGAACAAAGAGTAGCCACCTCGTTGTGAGTGAAAGCGCCAAACATGCGCCCTCCCCACGAGAGCTCCCGTACAAGTAGGCTCTTGTTGCTCGCCCCGGGGATAATCCAAGGCTTGGTACGGCTGAGGGCATCCAGGAGTTCCAGTTGGTGCTGGAGATTCGGGTGTTTCCACTTGTTCGGGTCCAACCACCCGGAGAGAGTATGTGCCCCGATGCGAACCCTACTTTGACAGTGGAACTGCTGCGATACCAATGCCTTTGCTCTAAAGATACCTGTCACCTCAGTGCTAAGAGGGTCAAGCAGTACGTTCGAGGTGCTGGGCCGCGTCAGGCCCGATGCCGCCATCGTCATCATTGAAGCACCGGGGCTTTCTCGTTTACAAGAATGATCCCCCTGTGTCTGGGACAAAATGAATCCGACCTGGACACGCTTCCATGCCTGCTCCGAGGCCGTCTCGCCCTCGGTCGCGCGAACCATTTCCAGGTACCGTGTAACAGCGTGCGTGGCCATAGCCGTGTGCCCGGAATCAGCATTGTCTATAGCAATGTGGATGAGGAAGTAGTAAGGGTCAATGCCAAGGTCCTTGAGCTCATGAGCTGCTTGCATGGTGTTCAACGTGACCATCTCGAATTGCATATTATAACCGAGAATCTCAGGGAGGAACTCATTGGGGAACAGCGAGATGAGAAGCTGGGCCACTGCTGCCTCCCAGGCGCCGCCATTGTCCATTCCGTCCCAGTCGCAGAAATTGATAAAGTCGGCACTGTGGCCCTCCGGCAGAGGGCATCCAACATCCTCCAGAAGCTTGCGGTAGAGGTGGACGTGGTGCTTGGACAGATCGCCGTCGCCGAGCTCTTCCGATAGGACCTGCCAGGCATCTTTTGTGACACCACGAAGGGCAAAGGGAGTCGTGATTTTGTGTACATGACCAAGCCAGGCGCCATCAACAAACTTGACGGGCGCTTGCTGCACCAGCCATGCTTTGGCGGCCTCAGCAGTTCCAAAAAGCTCAGGACCTTGTCCCTGCCTCCGTCGCTCCAGATAACTAGCCCACTCATCGAGAATGCGTATACGCTCGTCCTCGAGGAAACTCCATACACTCTTGGCATTGTACTGTTCGATGCGGAGGATGCTGTCTCGTGGCTCCTTCAGAGCGAGCATAAGCCCCTGAGAGAACATGGCCAAGAGCTCATCCCGCGCCGGCTCGAGTATTTCTGGGTGGTCTTCAAGATGCTGAAGCTTGAAAAACATGTTTCGGTACCATTGTGTTGGTTTGGGATCCCTGATGTTTGATCTCGATCTCTTGACATCCTTGGACTTGGTGATTTGGACATTGTTAGCAAGTGCAGACAAGTCTTTTCTTCTAGTCAAGCCCAAGCAGTAGATTAGAGCAGGCAATAAAACAGCTAGGGGAAGGACGAAAGGATAGTGCAAGATGACAAAGGCGTCTGGCAAGTCCATACTGACGACACTGCTGTGACGGAGAGGAAAACCTTCAGAAGAGGCAAGATTGGGATCCCTCTCTGGACTGCGCTACTACGAGAATTATTGTACCTGAAGAAACAAAGACTGCGGCTAAGTGGTTTATTGCTACATCAATAATTCGAGCTCGAAAAGCAAGTTGACCTCTGTTTGCGTCGTGTACAAGGATCCTCTCAATAGCCCTCTCATATGCCGCAGCACATCAAATCACACGGTTGGCGGTCGCTGCGGATAGGATAGGAACAAAGACTGAACATGTGGCTGGCTGTATTCCGTCCTTTCTTACTGTCTTGTCTCAGCTTGTCTCTCGATGGGGGTTCGTTCTTCGTTGACGGAGGACCGGGGCCGTCCCAACAGTGTGCAACTCTCCAAGGCTGCAGTAGTGCTTTTGGCTAGATGCATGATGGCGTTTGTACCGTCCCATTGTTAATGCGGTAATACATTCGCATGCTTCCCACCGGTCCTTTTAGCGCCAATGCTAAGGATCCCTTGTTTCAACGAGCAGGCCGCTCCAAGCAGCACGAGCATCCAAGTATGTTGTCGCAAAGGATCGCGGGCCGTCATATGTGACAGAATTGCAATCATACATGATCACTGGACAACCAAGTCTTTAGAGGATCAACGTGGGTCGCAGTTATGAAGCAGAAACTGGATAGAAGATAGTCTGTGATCTGTTCTGCAGCGGTTTGTAAACCAGACGATTCCCCCACACCTCTCTTCCTTGGCTTTTTTAATTCGTTGCTCCTTTTTCCTCTCAACTTGAAGCCTTTCAGATCATACTCAATTTCAGTCGTTCGTACAGAGTAGTACTTCCAACATTCCCACCAAAAACCACCATGATGTCTTCTCAGGAGAAGATGGCCTCTCTCGCCGTAGTCGACTACGAAGCCCTCGCAAACAAAGATCCCGCAGAGGTCCAGAAGCTAGTGACAGCCTGCCAAAGCGTGGGAATGTTCTACCTAAACCTCCGGGGTCCCAGCACGAACACCGTCTTTGAGGACATACCCACCATCTTCAAAACCGGGCATGCCTTCTTCAACCTTCCCCACGATAGCAAGGAAAAGACACAAAGCGCTCGCGAGGGAATGGAGCGAGGGTATGAGAAAATGTCGAGACGCGTTGAGCTCCTGCTTATTACTGACGGTTTCTCCTTCAAATACGTAGTTATCATGCCGGCAAGGGGTTCGAATATTACGAGGTCAGTAAGCTGTCTTGTCATGTCAGTCTTCTGATCTGTTAACCCCTTCATAAGATTGCGCGTGATGAGTATCAACTTGGCAAATGGATCTTACCCGCCACTTTCGAGCCGGAAAAGGAGCGCATCACCCGCACCATCAATTCCTTTAACCGTGCCATTCAGACGGTCATTGCCGAGCTCTGTGCTGCCCTGGATATCAGCATCCCTGAGTTGAGCGATGATCCCGCCATCCCCAGCGATACGGCTCTCAAGCTGTTGTACAAGCCTCCAATGCACGAGCCTGGCCACGTTATTCACCCGTGGCACACGGATTTCGGCCTCGCCACACTGCTATGGTATGACGAGGTGACGACCCAGATACCCATCTACGACAAGGAGGGGAAGCAGACGGAGGACTGGGAGACGGTCCCCGTCATCGACGGCACTGTCCTCATCAACATTGCGGATGAGCTTGCAGCTAAATCTGGTGGGCGCCTGCACTCGACTGTGCATCGCGTCGTCGCTCCACCAGGACCTAAGAGGGTGAGGAACGGAATTATCTATCTTTTGCGGCCGTACAAGGTGTAGCTAGCCTACCCAGACATGTTGCTAGCCTGGTACCGAGTAGATTTGAAGATGTTGTCGTTGTTACATGTACCTACAATGCTTTGCTTCTGGGCTGGGTCTTCCATAGTTACGATTGAGCTGCCTCGACACAGGGAAAGCCTAATCTGCGGAATTAAACACGGCTGGCCGGCCGCATTTGCATAAGCGCCGGGATTCAAGGGCCGGAACAGACCCAACCTCTCCATGTCAGCCAAGTCGGATCCCTCCCGCATGGCCTTTGGGCCTTTGTCAAGGGCGGGAGGAGCCTCGTACCCCGTAGACCGATCTTAACTGTGGACTCATGAAAGGGGGGGGTGTGCCTCTCCTGCATGTCTCTGGTCTACCTGCGAAGATATGTGGGTTATCCAAGGATCCCTGATTCCTTGTGCGTAGTTGCAGCCGGGCACTTATAGCATGCATCTGGACTTTGTATGACATGACGATGGCTTTTGCTTGGCTATGAGCGTCTAAGCCCTAGAGGCATCTACCAAATCCATGGCAAAGTGGAACGAAAGGGGGACCATCATGTAGAGAGGTCCAATACAAAGCCTCCAAGCGTGTCTCATTCCTCGGACTTTTACGGAGGACTCAGGAGTAAAGTAGGGACTCTTATGACATACCAGCCACCCAAACGGCCACACAAAGGCACTCCCAACGGGCAGCATCTACGGAGTGCATTGGGTGTATTGCATACTTGCAAATTAGTAGATCGATTAGATTGTACTCCGTAGATCTTCTCTACCGCGTTGTATTTTCGTCGGTTTCCACAAGCACCCTAAGGTTTCAACCTATTCACATCCCTGGGGAATAGTGTGACTTCACGAACATCGTCCAACCCCAGGAATCCCTGCAACAGTCTATTCACGCCCAATCCGCACCCGCCATGTCGTGGCATGCCGCTCTTGAATGCAGCCAGGTACGGTTGCCACTTCTCGGCCTCAGGGTCCAGCGGCGGACCACATACTCCCGCACGCATGGCCTCGCACAACTCGTCATATGAGTTGATGCGCTGACTGCCGGAGCAGATCTCTCGCCCACCCACAATGGTATCCCACGTGTTGGAGAGGCCCGGGGCATCCGGGTTTGCTTGCGAGTTGAACTGACGCATAGATGCGGGATACTGATCAATGGTGAAGACGTCTGTGCTTCCAAGATGGGGAGACTCGCGGAAGTACCGGCCCAGGGCAGCTTCTTCTTGGTCGCTATATGTTGGAGGCATGCCATGAGCGCTTGGAGTTCTGAAAAGAGCACGCCGCATGCATCACTATTACTTACGTGAAGTTCTTCCCGTCATCTGATTCGAGACCGAGCTCCTCCCTCAGAATGCGCTTGGCCTCAAGAAAGGTGATGCGCGGGACTTTGCCATGCTCATCCAGGCCAATTCGGAACGGCCGGGCACAGGGATAAAGCTTTTGAACAGCCTCAACGAGCTGCTTGTACTGTTCGCGTTCCTGAAGACCCCTAAAGACAAACACCAGCATGGATTCGATCAACTCGACCACCTCATGGTAGTCGTCCTGAAAAGCCATGGCTATGTCCAGGACGGTGAACTGGATTTACATGGTTGGTCAACAATGGTTTCCCAATCACAACGGGGAGTAAGGGTGTTGAAAGGCAGAGGGGACAGTTGGGGTGTGAGCCTACCTCAGTCATGTGTCTCGTAGACTTGGTAGACTTGACTTCAGCACGGAACACTGGACCAATCTCAAACACGCGCTGCATGTCCATGGAAAGAGCCATTTGTTTGTGATGCTGCGAGCTCTGGGCCAGCCATGCATCCTTGCCAAAGTATGGCAAGTGGAAGTACTCGTTGTCGCCAGGGATAGTGGCTGTGATTATGCGTGGTGTATGAATCCAATGGAAGCCGTTTGAACAAAGGAACTCGACAATCAGCTGGCACATGCTCGAATGGAGCTTGAAGATGGCTCCGGACGCGGAGCGTCGCACGTCAAGAATGCGATGATCGAGCCGGTCCTCGAGCCCGACTCCGGGGAGTTCCTTGCCGCGGACCGTAGGCAGGTCTGGAGACGCCAGAGCAATGACATCCAAGTTTGTCACATGGACTGTTGTTGTGTAGGCCTTGTTTCCACCGGTTTCGGAATTCCCATGGACCAGTTGAACATGGCCTGATACTCTGACGATGGATTCTGGTGTCAATTTCTGAGCCTTGTGCCACACCGCTTCTGCAATAGCCTTGGCATCAAGAGTAGCTTCAACAAACGTCTCCCGAGTTCTAAGCTCCAACCGCAGATGGTCCGCGAGCTCAGGTCTCAAGACAGCGTTGACTCTGGCATCAAAGACCACCTTTTCCTCTTTGAAGCCGTGAAGCGCCAAATCGGCCTAGTCAACGTGTCAAGACTAATATCCATGGTGGAAGCAACGACTTACCGTGCTCTTAGCCTGGAAGGCAGCGCCGTTTTCAGATGAGGGCATGGTGCTTGTGCGTAAGGGTTCGGTGCTGGTTATTCAGGGGATTCTTGGGGTAGCGGCGTCGATGGCAACACCAGGATAGGAAAGGAGTTTTCTGGCGCGAGGGCAGTTTGCGAAATAGCCAGTTTTTTCCCTCAAGTGCGCAGAGAATCGTCACATTGTGGTGGAACCCATGCTAGTAACTTTTTGGCGGCTCCCATTTCTGCAAGCAATATGCAATGTCTGTAGAAACGGGCTAGGCAGATAGAGCTCCTGGGGTCGGGGTGTAAACGAGCCATTGCTTTTTGCTCCAGCTGTTCTGTAGACGTACGTGATGCTCAGATATGAGTTGCGAATCAAGCCAAAGCCGACATGAAACCCTCTGTGCCCTGTCTCACCAGTTGGGTATCCTCGCAGCAAAAGCCCAAGAAGCTGTGTGTTATGGAGTGTGAGTTGAGATCCTAGACGAGATGTTGCATAAATGGAAGATGCAGCTAGCCAGCTAGCCACCGGACACGAGTTCCAGCATGTCAAGTCTCCTCACTGCAGACTTCCTGCATCTTTGCTTGTTCGCTCGTGCATCAATAGAGGCTTTTCGCTGGGTTTTGTTGTCCACAGATTTGGCTCATTTTCATGCCGCGCGGTAGGCAAGAGGTATTCAACGCAATTATACATTATTCGCGGATAACTCATGACAGCCATGGCGGATGGAATGTATGGCCTAGTCTGCAGCTGCAATTTACCATAGCAGTGAATTGATTCAAGACAATAGTCAAAACATGAGGAAAAACGCACCTGAAGACACGATTGATAATGTGACGCGATGTATACAAGGACTCCGATAGTGATAGGAATGACTGAAGATGTGTACGGCTTGGGTGGCGGAAACCCAAACTCAAAATATATATGAAAGCCTTTTGAAGGATACGACACACGCCAAAGGCTCTAAAGCCCAATGATATCGGATATCCGTTACGTGACCCGACATTCTTCCCCATTGGATGCAATATTTCCACTGGCAGCCGCTTCATGATCATACCCGAGGTTGCAACCCGTCATCTCGAGTTACTTAGCCATTCTTGTTATGCTCGAGTTTGATACAACAAGAAAGACTGGATGTGTTTCAATCGGGTTAGTTTGCAGAGGATCATCCGTGCTAGATGTCTTGTTCCGTCGGGTATCGTCATGGGAGGTTGCAGATACCCTTACATGGCCGTTGTATTGATCAAAGGGAAAGCGCTGCCATTTATGGTCCTTCTCATTTATAGGCGGCCGCGTGTCTCCAGAGTAATATTGCACCAGACGATTACAGCTGTTGTAATAAAGATCGTGCCTTTGTCCGTGTATCTCCACATCAGAGCAGCTTGCTGAGTATAGAGGGAGTTGACTCTGTAGAAAGCTCGTTGTTGCATTATTCTTATACACATCTCGTACCAGGTGACCCGAAAGTGAATACCGTCGGTGCTCCTTGCTAGAAGGAGCTCCGATTGTCAAAATCGTTGGTGTTACTTCGTTGAACGTATGGTGATTCGTTATACAGCTGCTCTCCATGCTTTTGAGGGCGTTGTCTAAAGCAGTCTCATGGAAGAGTTCGTGCTTATCTTCCTTCGGTATTGTCATATGACCAGGTCTTAGCACGCTTCTTTGATAAGTCTCCTCTGTAAGCCATGTGCCGAGATTTTAAGAAACAATACGACTAGGCCGATGACAGACTGTTCGTCAATGATTCTGTCATCAACACGTATTGACATGGGCAGAGAGGCAATACTCGTAGCCGCGTACTGCATACTTGGTCTTCATTGAAAAGTGATCTTGTAAAATAGCCTGAAACACTCGGTTGTAGCCATCGACTAGATGTTGGGATGTATGACCAAAGTGATTTGTTTCTTTGTAATGTGACGCAGGCCATAGCCAATCTTGCCAGAAACTGTGCCGTCTGCTCTGAGGAGTTTTCGCCCCATACATGGTGCCGAATTGGTCAGTCAGTAAAGTCTCTGTCTTGGCTTCACCTTGATTGCTTTGAGTATGAGCAAAGCGTACTGGGTTCATAGCAGATAAAACCGATACACTCTGTGTGACACTCTTTTCGGTTATCTTCCAAGCCGAAACTTTTCCCCAGTCATCATATCTAGATTCTGAATCTCAGTCGTTTTGTAGCTTGTCCGTTAACTCTCAGCCAGTTAATCTCATCCACGCTGATTACTACCCTAGACTTTTTTAGCGACGTTCCTCAACGACACGGAACACTCTGCTCTCGCAGACATTCTGGGGTCCTTCAGGCCTACCATCGTTGTCCTATTTCTCAATCCAAATCACTCTTTGAAAGCCGACGCTGATCTAATGTGTTTGCATGCCCGTCGCATCAGCCACCGTCAACTGGCTTCCGGATCCTCACTCTGCGACAGCTTATACATGCATTTTTGTGCTTCATAAGTCCTGTTCTGCGACGTTGTCGACTTGACTTATCGTCCAATTTGATCATAACTCAAGTGGTCTTCTATGCCTGGTCCAACCTTGGGGTTATGGTGAGCGCAGACATGATACGGTAACTTCATCCTAAATATTACACTTAT